TTATTCACGAAGCAATCATACGACTCATAACAATATTCGGTAAATCACGAGATGTCATAAAGTGTAATATCGGGAACAATCAAAAACAATATCAATAATGCTTTCAATGCGTAGGGTTCTTTTATTATCAACGCTATGATTTTTATTCAATGCGTGCGATTGTGGATATCAGCGCGGAGTAATTGATTCGTCTGGTATTAATTGTCACTTCCGCATAGAAAACAGAACTTTCAACTTGTTGATATTGATTGGCATTAATTATAATGTAATAATTCATGTTGTAATCATGTAAAATTTCAATAAATGTCGCGTTTAATTATTAATTGGATTTTATACAGGATAAATCATTTCTGAAATTAATTTGTGATTTAATTGTTTAATTTTAAATATAAAATAAGTAAAAACTGCAGAATTCGCATTCTAAATCACTAATAAAACGATACAAACAACAAAATTGTATAATAACCGCGATGCTGCCGGTCGAATGCAACTTTTCTTAACACACAAAGCAAGCATAACTCGCTCGGATAAACGAGCGGCAGCGAAACAGCTGCACAATGCCAGAAAAACGCACAAAACGACCAAACGCGCGATGAATAAAATCATATCGGCTGCGCGCTTTGCCTTAAAGCGCAATCAGCTTTTATTTATCTTCATGCTCGTGCTTATTCTCGCCCGATTTTACAATTACGCTTTGAATGTCTCGTGCATTATACCCATTCAAAGGTATGCCTCACATCTCACCTCAGATGCTCGTATCGCAATCATCTACTGAATATATACCTAATAAAATATCACTACGCATGTGAATGTGCCGTGAATCCTAAGTTGAATTTGAAGATGAGAATCGAGTGAATGTGAAAATGATTGACTGTAATCCGCGCATGTGTACGCAAAGAGAAAAAATGTTGTTTATTGCCTGAACGAGTGAAGATTTATGAGCGATATCATCGGCAGAGATCAGAAAACAATAATTTCACGAGCACGCAAAGAATGCGCGCGTGGAATGTTATTAGACTAACTTAATAATCGCGATTTCATGTCGTCGGCTCGCAATTCCTTACTGCATTCTTCTTGTGAGCAAGAAAAGCAGACGAAATAAAAAAAACTTAAATGTACGTGCGTAAATTGACTGGAGCGGAGTGACAAAAGTTGCAAGTGTGTACATTCAGTGGCATGTTGCGAGGAGAAGCAAAAGTAAGTCCGAGACTTGCCCAGCTAGAGCTAATCTCGATGCCTTGTTGCTTCCGCTGGTTATTGCATCTTTGGCGCGCATTTCTCAGCCTCGCGTATTGAATTGCACGCGCGAATGCGACAAGCCGCGCTGAGCTTTCCAAGCGCAGAGCTTCGCAAAACCATGTGCTTTTGCCCTGCGCGCGCGCGCGAACACGCTTCATGGAATGCGGTTTTTCTCCTTATCCCACCTCAATCCCGATAACGACCACAGCCACATTTTGCACAGCCATTGCGCTAGGAGTAATAATAATCTTTCAATGCAACGCACGCATTCAACATTGAAATTTTACATACAGTGTGATAATAATTTCCAAAACAAACAAATGATAAAAATATAAACATATTTACATTATTGTCATTTGACAGGTGTGATGAATTAGTTTGGCGGCTATCCGCCAGAGGGCAATCGAGTTATTTGATGATTACATTAACATGTGTTTGCATACGGTTGAAGTTATGATGAATTGCGAGCGCTTTTAAAGTCGTTCGTTGAACCTTGAAAGCGTCGCGATTGTAGTATTTTCCAAGACAGAGCCGGTAATCATTATGTGCGCGCGCGCGTACTTTGCGTCTGTTTGCATCTCGCGAATCAGGTTTTAATAAAAGGTACCAATAAGTGCGCTCGCATTACATTCCATGCCCAATGGGCATTTGAACATGTTCTCGTACAGAGGCAACGTATATAAACTTTTCATACATTTACAAAAGCTTTTTGCAACTTTTGTTAAAACATAAATATTTTTGGATCATATATTCACTGGATTATTACCATGACAATCGAAAACAATTTTGATTTTTTTGATTTAATTCCACGCGCCGGCTCATATCAAAATCCATAGTACATCATTCAACAACAAAAAGGCAGTGTTACCATCTCGCTCCTAAACAAAACAAGAAGACCTTTTGGAAGCTATTAAGTACACACCCTTAATTAACACAAAGAGAAAATCAAACCCACGTTGCATAAGTTTAATCTACCGAAAAAAATAAAAATGGCATTGAAAAGTTTGGGCCTACTGCGCATGCCTTGCCTGTCGCAGTGGTGCAAGCAAACTGTAGACTGCGCATGCGCGATAGCCAAGCGCACACATGCCAACATCCTCACATCTCCAATCCTCGAACAAGACCACGAAGAAAAACGCGTTCAACGTGAGTTGGAAAAACGCTGCATACCAGCATCGGGATCAACTACAACCACCACCCCAGGAGGTCCAAGTCATATCACACCTCAACGATGTCCTGTGATGAAGCTCCGCAATGTGCAAAGACAACTGCGCACATTCAGCACAATTATGAATCCGTACCCATCATCGTCCTCGTCGAGTGATGACACTACATCAGACAGCATGGAAGAAGACCTGGTCATAGACGTGCCTATACTTCGTTATCCAGAAAGAAAGGAACGAACCATCAATAGACTCATTGGTAAACCCAAAGTGCCGCCAACGAAACCAGGTCAAGGCTTGACAACACTACCCTTCCCGCTGCCAATGTTACCCAATGTGCGTGATCAGATTCAGAAGGTACGCGCGCATGAAGCTGAGCTGCGCCAAGCCGAAGAGAATAGGATGTATAAAAAGCTTGCCGATATGGACGAGGAAGAGCGTCTGTGTCGTAGGCTAGCCGAGGAGGCGCGCAGAGCTGCACAACGCAGTATACGCGCCACTTACAAGAAAAACATGGATAGAATATTGTTGACTAGGGGATTTCGGTAGATTAGGCTCAAGCACAACCATCTACTTCTAGTGTAAAAGCGGCTTTTTTGCCTGTTGAATGACTTCAGTCATTATGTAACCATCTTTCGTCATTACGCCATCCAAAATCTTCAATTATTTTTTTTTATTTTAAAGTCAATTAAAAGAGCACATGTCTGAGGCTGGTCATCAATCGATGTGATCGCTGATTGCTGACGGCCTAGGGAAATAGAACGACAACATAATAAAGCAATATAGAAGGGTTCTTAGTGTTTTATTCACGTATAGCCTCAGCTAGCGTGTAGTGAGCGTATTCAACGCGACGCGACTTCCCCCACCACTGCGTGCGGGTTGTACGCAGGTATAAAAGGCCAACGCGCTGTGCGCTCAGCGCTCAGTCGTGCCTGAGTCATGGGGCAGTACAGTCGCAGATTTTTAGATTCCTAACAAAATCCGCCGATTGAAAAAAAAACTTTCAACACAATATTTTATCTGATTTTAACTGGTTCCATTAATATTAAATTACTTGTTTTAAATTGTTTTTCATCCAGCTACCAACATTTATAATCACAAAATGATTAAATTTGAGTCGCAAATACAATTAGGTGTGGATTGCGCCGGCAGATTGCATTCTTTATTGCGCTGCAAACCAGCAAAATTGGTTCGACTGGCGTGACAAACCCCTAATGCGAGAATTTGCACCGTACGCACATATTAATTCGATTTGAACGCGCCGCGCGCGTAATGGCAATGCATCGCCCATCCATTGGGCCCGCGTGTGTCGTAAAAGCTGATTGCGTTACCGCTTTGCACGCTGTGATGCGGACGGCTGGCAGCACGAAACGCGCTTATTAATCGCGGTAATTAAATTTGGCGCATACGCGTTGCCGCGTTCAGTGGCGTGTAAATGTTAACGCGCACAATGCGAAACCCGGCTGCCGAAAACCAGCACCAGGCTTATCTCGATATTCCGACAACCAGCAGAGAGAGCAGAGATGAGTATTTTACTCAACCAACGAGGTTCAAACGCGTTCCGGGGCGGATTTAAGCGACTGTTAATTAGAACGCATTTACTCAAATCCACCTTGCCTCGCATCCGAGTACAATTTTACCAGTTTCCTGATGCAAATCTCTCCAGTTTCAAAAGCCAAACCAGAACACGAAAAAGAGTTACACCAGTCTTTCACTTTAGTAGGTACTACGTGAGTATATATTTGCTCCATTTTGGTTTAACCCTCCGTGTACTGTTCTCACTTGGGATACGATTTAAAATTTCACTCCGTGTTTTCTTTGCAAGGGCGTCTTTGTCGAGGATTTACAGTCGTTCGTAAAGCCGAATTTGTGGTGCGATGCTGAACGAGAGAAGAAATAATGAATTCCTAACAACGTGCGGCGAATGGGGTGCTGTAGAAGACGGCGATTAACGTTTATTCATTGACTTCGGAAAAGGGTCGCGCTGCGTTAGCTGGAAGGGTTGTTCGAGTTGATTTTGCAAATTTGTTGCGCGCAAAATTACAATTTTCACTAAATCACTTATAATAACCTATAAACCATAAGAATAATTCGCATTCATGGATATATAACTCTTTTTTTTTCATTATTGCATTTTCCCTACATTTGCTTCCAATTTGTTGGTTTGTGTCATCTCCTTTTCATAAGAATGTAAGAAAATCAATATTTAATTTGGAAAAACAGCAAAAACCAGACTGGCCGAAATTGGGGTGAGCTCAAGGACGACGAGGACACCAACGGCAAATTCGCTTCTTAAAATCATTTCAGCCAGACGAAAACGTTAGCATTTTGCGATCCTTTTTTGCCCGACTTTTTTTTTCATACCCTAACGTGTTTTATCCTCAGACCCGTCTGCGAACTTTGCGTTCATCGGATCTGTTTAAAGTTAAACCGGGTACACATCCTCTCTGTACTATTGTGGTCGCTCGCGGGCATTGAGAAGTTAAAAGCCACTCCACAAGGGATAAAATAAAACACAAGGACAACAAAAGAAAAAATGTTGCAAAATACACCCAAAGATAAAAAATATCCAAATTAGAATATAAATGAAATTCTTACCTTTGTATCAAAATTGAAGACAAGATCACACTTGAGAGGACACTCCAACCCGCACTTGCACGTATCCGGCGTGAGGAGATAGTCCTTGACTTGGTCCAAGGAGCTGAGCGCAGTGTTACTCGGGCTGCAACAAAATAACAACATTAGATTTAAAACCACTCAAACTCTGCTCTCTAAACTTAAATTTAAAAGTAAAGTTGTTATTCAATTCCAAAACCAATTTGATCGTTTTCCTTAATTCAATCTGCTTTCGGTCAAAAGCCTTGACCCCACTGGACAAAACGTCCTGGGCAAAAGGACCTTGTTTACCTCTACTATAATATAATCAAACAGCTTTCAACCAGCTTGCAATTGGATAAGATAGTGAACACACAAGGACCAAGCGGGCTTTTAGAATAGCGAAGAGAAATGCAATGAAAGAGCAAAGTGACCCCCCCAAAACGTTGAGGTGAACAGAGGTCTAATACTGCTTTACGATGTTCGTAGATTCGCAATCTCACATCTCACATCTCACTTTGTACCTGATTTCGACCGCGAATCGAAAGCACCTACGGTTTCCTCTTGGAATGCGCTTTACATCCATCTCGTAAACACAACACAACAACAACTACTACACGTTCCAACCCTAAATCCTTATGTTTTCTTCACTTCCGCTTCAATTCAAGCCCTTGTAGTTTATCAGTTTAGGACATGGGGTGCCTCTGCCTGCCTAACCTTTGACCATTGTTGAGATAAATACGATTGGAGCAGACTATGATGACGAACGCTAAATTCCATTGAATGTAGACAACCCAACATACACAAACAAACATTATTTTGTTCGACTGTTTGCTTACTCTCCATTCACAACTTCTCGAAGATGTTTACTTCATTGTGTCGGTAATGAATTATGAATAAAAATGATAAATCGACTTTTACCCTATTCTAGCGTTTTATTTATGAGCGAAAATGCGGTTTTCCGTGCTCGAATTCAAGCGGTGATATTCGGCTTGCTTTTATTGCCAAAGTGTTTCAATAGAAGAGGAGTTCACACCGTGGCGCGGCGCGTCTGAAAGAATATTGAATCATCGCCTCTCAATGTGAACAACCTGATAACGCACAAAAGCAAACGAAAACAAGTTCGGTTCAATAGACACTGTGGCGCGTCCTGTCCAGCAACGGCGCCCCTTTTTCTTTTTAATACTTTCTTTTTATATCGATATGTTTATGAACGCGGCGACGCTGAAATTTATTCCAAGTGTCCATTGAAGGGTAGATAAGAAAACGCAAACCCTCTAGCCGCTGTATTTTTTAATGCGTCACACAATCATAAATATCCTCAACTTGAATGGAAATGGGAATTAAACATGCGTGCAGATTACCTGTGACCATATCACCCTTAGGGAATCACCCTTGCGACATGTCACCATCTAAAAAACTAGTCTTTGTCTTTGTTGCGTGTTATTATTATTAGCTGTATGTGCAAATTTCAAGTGTAACACACAAAATCCCAACATAAACATCGAGGGTGGTTTGCTTGCGGCTTGGTGTTTTATGTTGTTATGTGCGCGCCGCGCCGGCAACAACGTTATGTGAATTTTACGGTTACATAAAGACGCAACGGCGAAGAAAGCGGCTTATTGATTTTTATAGCTCCGGCGCAGACCACGTCACGAGTCACCAATATATATGTGATGCTATTTTTCCTCTCTTCATGACTTGTTATATAATCTAACGATACGCATGCAATTGAATTTCTTTGCATGTAACTAAAATATTTCGAAAAACATTTTTGTGATGTGTTTATCTCTTTCGAGAGTCCAAATATGCTTCATTAATCATTCGTCGCATTCGTCGTTGAAGACCTTTCTATAGCACCCGCCAGCATTCGAGCACGAGTTCGTGTGTTCATAAAAAACTTAATGAAGTCGTCTATAAATCACAATAAATCAAGCAACCAGCCGAAATCATCTCACACACATCTTAACTTTCAAGTTTTACGCTGGATGCAATAAAGTTATAAATCAGAAATTGTAATACGATTATTTTACATACATAGTTTTATTTTACAAAAATGAAAATATGGCTGTATTTTAACTTCCTGCACGTTTGCCTTACAAGCATTGTACTCTTGTTATTGCAAGTTAATCGAGTCTAAACGTGGGTGGGTGACGCAAAGCGTTGAATCAACAGGAACGGATTCATAATGGATTAATTAAACCCAATTTGAATGCATGGTCAATTGTGACGAATGTCAGTATTGCGTTTATTTCGAGATTAACTCGACATCATCAAATGCGTTTATTTATTCATTTATTTATCGACAAAATCATATAAAACGAATGAATATTACTGAATTTTTTTAAATTTTATCCTGCGCTTGACAACAGACAAACAAATAAAAAACTATTCGAATTAAACGAATATTTCGACGAATTTTAGCGAAAATACCGCGTGTTTTCCGTTGATAAGCCAAACATTTGCGTTTATTTGATTTGCCCAACATGCCCGACATTTCCCGATTTTGTTTACATATCAAACTGCGCATTGCAAAACTGCGCTCAAATTAATATTTACATTTGATTTTAGTTGGTTCCTATTATAATGTACCTAAATTTGTTGTTTGACTCCGAGTCAATAACGCCGCTATAATTTGTACGGCATTAATTTAAATGGCATAAATATAATTATTTTTATTTTATCATTAAAATAACGTGTAAACTGAGCGCGGGCACCATTAATGCGATTCGAACTATCTGCGTACGCAATTTAATTACACTAATTGGCAGCTTGAGCGTTGAGCGGCGTGTGTTGAATCGATCGGCACTTAAAATCTTCGGATCGATGGACAGTAAAGCCGGCTGATTAAAATCTGATCTTTCAATATAAAAAATAAATAAAATGGTGGTTATACACGTATATGAGATGAGAGAGAGATTTCAAGGTTGATTTCGTTAATTAAACATGGTGTAGATGATAAAATGATCAATATCTCATATTTTATTATTATTATCATTATTATTCTAAATTTGGATGATGGCGAGAGATATGAGAGACATATGTTCATAATTAGCAATTAGAAAATTCTGACTTTGAATTGTATAAACGCTCGTCAATCTTTAAAAAAAAACATGCCAGGTGTAGCAGCGTACGCGTAACTCGTTTCAACCTACAAATATTTTTGGGCATCTTAATATTCCTAATAAGGAATACCGAAACAATTCCAAACATAGATTTATATATCATATGTCTATATAAGACTTCAATTCAACTTGGTTCGGTTTGTTTTTTCAATTATGACCATGGATTTACATATAAAGTGCTCAAAAAAACAATACCCACTTTAAAAAAACACTTTTTGACTCAAATGAATCATTCAATATTTTAATTATAGGTATATATTCTAAAGGGAAAAAAATATAGAGATTTAAGAAAACCTTGGAAAAGATCCAAATATCTCCTCAAAAATATAAAAAAAAAAATAAAGAAAAACCTCTTTTTAATTCAGCCGAGAAGAGAAAATTTTAAAAAATTCTATCTACCAAAATAATGTGATGAGAAAAACTTTTTTTTTCATTATTGACAATCTTAAATTCTTAATAAACAAATATAAATAATACACGCTCCAAAATGTCACGGACATCTGTCCAAAACTAAAAAAATGAAACAAAACTTCTATTCTATTCAACTAATTAAATGAATCCAACCGCCTGGTAATAATTTACGTCTAAATCGCTTATTTATTATTTCCTAATAGAAAATATTCATATTTTACGAGTCGTTTCAATTCTGTTATTGTGCTGTTTGTATCAAGTTTTTTTCTCTCATTTATAATTTATTGTCAGCCGTATTTTCCCAAAGTATCATACCTGTGTGTGTTGTTATTATGGAAAACTCTCAACTCGCGCATAAAAGACGCTACGATGAGATATAAATCGTTTTTATTAACACATTATGCACGATCAACATGAATTTCATAATAAATATGTAAAAATGTTCGATTTGCATACGAGACATGAATGAATTTAATTTTATATCGACAGATTAAACATTTATGAATAAATTTCAAAATTGCTTAATTTCTTCGATTATGTAACCGAATTATTTTAGCTAAATAAATAAAATTAATCCTATTCAAATAGAAAACGCCATTAATCCATTAGTACAAGTCCATCAATTAAAACGTTGATTGAGTTACGGACTTCTTGTTTTCTCATTTACATATTACGACACTTTATACTTATACATTTATAACGCGGTAATAAAATTAAAAATTAATTTCATTTGCCGATGCAAAGTGGCATCGATTAATTAATGGGCCGAAATATAGAAATCGTAATCGTGTAGTCAAATATCAATTTCCATTAGAGGATTAGCGCACATCCACAGCCACGGCCACATCCGTGCATTAGTCATGCGCATCAGCGCGCGCGAACTAATCCTTCTAATCTCACATTATAATTGATACGCAATGTCCTCGGCCTCACACGGCAGCCGCGCGCAATCCAATCGATTTTATCAGTTAAAACTATTAATTATAATTTACGTCGACGTATGCTCGAGATGCTCCTGAATAGATTAATTAATCATTCATTTAAATTTATCATTCTCGTGTGTAAAATAGTGTTTTACGCACGCAAATAACATTTATTTCACAAAAATATTTTATGAGAATAAATAACGAGTTAATTATTCAGCCGAGACGATTAATTGTGTTTCCAATTGATCGAACATAACAATTTGAAGCGTGCATTCGCCGTGAATGCAATTCAAAGGCTTGCGATGTTAATTTATCCCCGACGATGCTGCGCGTGTATTTTATAGACGCGCCATTGTAATCTAAATGCCGATTAGGTTTTATTTTCTCGCCGGCGCGAGACACGCATTTTGTTATTGTATTTGCGACGTCATTAATCCACCCGGGGTATGCGTGTTTGTGCGAGCAGCATCGTCGATGTTTAGCGTTCCGTATAATTGGCAATGACTTCATCAATAAAACGCACCGCGAACACGAATACGCACAAATGCGTGCAGTGCGTTTATGCAAAACGCCGGCGGTTATTAGAGTTAAACTCTCGCTCGGCGATTTCCACGCGTTTTAGGCACGCTGTACACAAAACAAAACAAAAACTAAAAAGAAAAAAC